CAGCATCATCAGTACAGGAAGAAGTGAGGCACTTCATTGTGCCGGATGTGATCGTCTATGGCATGTATGACAAACATTTTGCACTGAATATGGAGATCAAACGACCTGGGGACAATACGGGAGATGCACTGGTAAAGTGTTTCACTCAAATGTTGTCTCACATGCACACCCAGAATATACATTTTGGTCTGGTAGTCAGTGCAAGGGAATGGGTTCTGATCATGGCGATCAAGCTGGGGAACAAAATTGCTATCCGGCAATTCCGCAAATCGATGTATTTGGTGGCAAGTCCAGGAACGGATAACCTATCAATACACCTGGACGTGGACGCCTTCTTTTCCTTGATTAACTGGATTTACAGGATTTTATCCTGGAACATGCATGGATAAGATTGCATGGCATGCATGCATGCATGGATAAGATTGCATGGCATGCCCTTTTTCAGCATTGTTACTGGTCAGCGGGTAGGGAAGCCTTTTATCTACCACCTTGAAACTTTCAGCCTAGCAAGAGATCATGATGTCCTGTATGTCGAAGTTTTCGGAAAGCCAATCGACCCGAAATATTTTGATTGACGGTGGAAAAATACCCTCGAAAGTAGGCCCATTTCTAAATAATTCTTGTTGTAAAAAATATTGTTTACTTGTATTTCGTTGTATTTTGTTTACTTGTATATTGTTTACTTATAAAGTATCCTAATTAAACATGTTTATACGCTGAGTAAAAGAAATGTTACGTGTTCAGTGTTATTGTTCATTGAATTCGAATTTTCACAATGCTTCATTTCACTCTAGCCCTCTCTCTCACAAACGCACACGCACGCGCACATGCACACGCACGGCACGCACGCGCACACACACACGCGCGCACACGCACACGCACGGCATGCACGCACGCGTGCATACACACACACGCACGCACACGCAAACGCGCACGCACACGGCACGCGCCGCGATTAGTCACCGAACACAAATCTGTTTAACAACAATACGCAGACAATGTAGGTTTTTTGTCACCTCAAAGGGACCTTGAGGAATCGCAGTCGAGGCGCGCCCGATTAAGAAGTGGTTCGGAGTGAGCGGCTGGAGGTCATTCGGATCATTAGACGAATAACCGATCGGTCTGGAGTTGACAAGGCTCTGGACTTCAGCGAAGGCGGTGGACATCTCATTCCATGTAAGCAGCTGTTGACCAATAGCGACTCGCAAGCTACCTTTTACTTGTTTGATCAGACTCTCATAAAATCCTCCTTGGTGAGGGCTCAATGGAGTGATGAATCTCCATTTCACGTGGTGCAGAACAGCAAAATCTTCGATTTGCTTCCGACCCTCGATGACTAGCTTTCTTAATTCCTTTTCTGCGCCCCCAAAGTTTGTCCCATTGTCTGAGATGATCGTCGAAGGCCAACCATGATGCGCGACGAATCTCCGCAACGCATGAAGAAAAGATGTCGTAGACAAAGTTTCTACAATCTCGAGATGCACTGCGCGGACTGTAGCACAGGTAAAGATCGCGCCCCAAGCTTTGACGGACTTGTTACGACCACATTTCAAAAGAAAAGGACCGAACAGATCGACACCGGTAGTCGAGTACGGCGGCGCAAACAACTTCAACCTATCGACTGGAAGATTGCCCATCAGTGTGGTGTGCGGAGGTTGACGAAGAATTCGACAGATCACGCAATTCTTCACGGTCTCTCTGGCTAGACTTCTTCCTTTCAAGATCCAATATCTTCGTCTCGATTCACAAAGGGTACGTTCCGACCCAGGGTGTGACATCTTCTCATGGCCATCTCCCATTACCAGCTTGGATACGTGACTCGACGCTGGTAACAAGATTGGATGCTTCTGATCGTAAGTCAGTGGTGCATGTCTCAGTCTACCACCAACACGGATAATCCCTTGATCGTCGCTGAAGGGTGCTAGATCCTTCAGTTGTCTCCAATTCTCGAGCTGTCTTTGTACGGACTTGATGGTGTACAGCCTTGCCCGCTCCATCTCCTCCGGGTTTAGAGGTCCTGACTTTCTCTCTATTGCTTTTCTCCCGCAGTTGAGGTTGTGCACGAATCGGAGAACGTAAGCCGTCACTCGGGTGAGCTTTCCCCAATTCGAAAATCTCTTGACGTCAATCGGCGGAACAACCTTTACAGTTGCACAGACTGGACGAGGTTTCTTGCGCTCAACGTCATCTTCAGGCGGGACTACCTTCGTCACTGTTGGCCACTCTTCTCTGGGTTTTCTAAGGAAATCTGGACCGTTGATCCATCTCCCATTCATCTCATGTGGTCTCAAACCACGGCTCAGATCATCTGCTGGGTTGAGCTTTGTGGGCACAAATCTCCAATGACCGAAGCTCCAGGTAGACTGGATCTCCGCAATTCTCACACCAACAAATGGCTTCACGAAGGTAGACTCTGATGACAACCAGTGTAACACAA